ATGATTCTCCACCTTCATATGGGGACTGTAACATTTTAAGAGAAGTCTGTACTGTTTGCCATGGAAACAGTTTATAAATCTGGCATCCCAAACTATGAACTTTGAATCCTCTGATTTACACAAATTCTCTCCCTTGTACGTTTAGTGGGGACCGGGGAAAGAGTTTTTATTCTTCTTTAAAATCATGAGATCTGTTGCTATTCAACTATTTCATGCCAAGATCTGCAATTTCTGTTATTTTATTTTTTGTTACTATCCACATGCTTTAGCCACAGTATATTCTAAGTTACATTGCACTTAGAGTAGTTGAGAAGTTGAAAGCTAGGGATTCATAGAAGATTCTTTGATTTTTTTAAAAAGAAGGCAAACCAAAACTTAGTCAAAGAGGGTTTTGATTCTCATAAAGAACTGGCTGTTAGAGTACTGCTAGCATGGAACCGATATACGATCCCATCATTTAATCTAGATTTGCCACTGAACTTCTAAATTACTGATAACCCTTGAGCTAAAGAAAATATTGTAATGACCATTTACTACACTACAGCTATGAATATCTGAGATATTTCCAACCACTATGGCTGCCAAAGCTTCAATTTTGCATGACGTAAAAGATTAATAAACGCTGGGAAGAATGATTAAAATCTCTCATTTACTCAAAACAATCTGGTGCCAAATTCCCAGGAAATGAATTAATCTCGCCAAATTTTCTGGCATTATCAACAAATAGCATTAGTATAACACAATACAAATGGCAAGTGAAAATCAAGAAATGCCAACAAAATTTTGTCATCATTCTGACTTTAAATAATTGTAATTAAACACCAATAAAATAATAGGTCTGGTTTATAATTTTTTTTTGTTATAATTCCGTTCCCCCCCCCCCCTCCGCACACACACACCAAAACAAAACTTTTGCAAGCACCAGAGTTGTGGTAGTTGCTGTTATATGCCTTCAAGGCATAGAATCATAAAGCTGGAAGAGACAAAGGGCCATCCAGTCCAACCCCCTGCCATGCAAGGACAGACTTATGGTGAGCCACCTATCACACAGTTTTCTGGGGCTGTATGTGATACACCCAGGGTCAGCCAGTAGGTTTCCATAGCCAAGCAGGGAATCCAAAATTGTTCTGCAAATTCATAGTCAAATGGTCAAATCACTGGTTCTCTATAGTACTAGGGAAGAATGTATAATTCCAAAGGTTCTTGCTTTTGTAATGTTCTCCTTGGTTCTTGCTATTTGTCCTGCTAGTTTTCAGACTGCAGTTTCTAATAGAATGCAATACTAATAGTAAGGTCAGCCAACCGGAAGAGGCACAAACAATTGTATCACTTCTCCACCCTAGCATTTTATTCTGTTGGAGATAGATAGAAAGATAGATGGCCACAGACATGTTAATAACTTTGATTGCTTGAGAGCTGATGAAGCGCTGTGTCTAAAAACATGATCTGGAAAACTTTTGACAAATTTATCATAGCAGCTATTAACTAATTATTATCATCAACTTCAGATATTCACTGTCTGTGAAGGATATTAGCTTGTAACAATTGTCAAATATTGGCAGACTCCAAATAGCAGATTCCCCTGATGGATCTGCTTCTGTCAACAGAACTCTATCCAGCAATCCCATCCTCTCCTCAGACTTGCTCCAAATGACTGAGAAATTCTGTATAGGAGACAAAGCTGCATCAAAAGGGGAAGGAAAGAAAGTGCTATCATGCTGACAGCTAAGCATTAGGGCAATGTCACTTCTGCTATCACTATATAAATAGGAACTTGCATTAGTTGTAAACAGCAAAAGTCCTGATTATGCAGAAAACATTCTCTTTTGTTTAAATGATCTGCTTTTTCAAAAGATTGGCTGAATTCCTGTTATTGGGTGACCATGACAATTTACTTTTTTGGTCTTTACGGAAGACTGAATTTGTCTGCACAACAGACAAAGTTAAGTGTTTGGAAAGTAACATCCCAATCAATAGGCAAACTAGCATTTTATTTGAAAAATTCTATCTCAACCACATTTAACAATATAAATCAGAAGTATTTGCAAATCTGAGTGTAAATCTAAAAATGTACAATACAGTAGAGCTATGGTAATATTAAACCATGCTATACTCTACACATATAGAAGTATACAGTGATACTTTATAAAAGACATCTTGTATAAATAAAATAATTACAGAAGCAGGAAAAGTTATAGAAAAATAAATGAAAACAGAACTGGAAAACATCTGAACTCAAAAGGTTTCCACTGCACAACAAAATAATGAAACACATATTCTATCTGATACGTGGACTGGTTTTTCATGTGTTACTGTACTCAGCACTTTCCCAACTGGATCAAACAGTTAATTGTATATCCTTTAAAAGCACTGTGTCTAATAAGGTTTCCTTTTCAGCTTTATTAAAACTGTGCCTAAAATCAATACAGGAAAGTCTGGGCTTGAATGACATTAAAACACACCATATTAATGTATTTCTATGTTACACTCAACTTCATACATTCATCACATTTCACAAGGAAAACAACAGGCACCAAGAATAGTCACTGCATTTGTCAATCCAATAAAAGAAGAATACTATATTATGAAATAGCTTCTGGAGAAAGGCATTTTGAGAGCACAAGGGGAGGATTCATAGGCCAAAGATCCAACAGAGATCCAAACACTTAAAGAAGAGCACTCATGTTCTGATAGAACAGGTCAGCACAACCTGTGGCCTTCCAGCTGTTTTTGCCTCCAACTCCCAGAAGCTCTAGCCAGCTTGTCCAAAGGCAGGAATTCTGGGAGTTGGAGGCCAAAACAGCTGGAGGGCCACATGTTGTGCAGGCCCTCGGATAGAACAACAACATTTCCTCTCTGGAGATGACATATAAAATCTCATGTCTAAGAGACTGGAGACACCTGGAACAAAACATACAGGACAACTTCCAACTTTGAAACACTTGTCCAACCAGAGACTGCAGCACCCAAATTTAGGTCCAGCTATGGCAGAGCTTATCCCGTTGAAAAATCTCATGATTTATAGAGTGTGATAATAAAGAGAATATACCTGATAGGAGGTCTTGGAGAAAGGGTTGGGGAATGCTAGACATCAAGTTAACAGTCTGTCCATTTCCTGACTTCCATCTGTTCTGCAATATATTTCTATAATAGATTAATGTAGGATACAATTCTTGCCTTGATAATTTGGGTTTTCTTCTTCATACAGTCGATCCTGTAGCTTGAGGAATAAGCTTGATGTCTTGAGTGGTTGGCTGTAAACTATGGATTTGTAGTGTGTTCAGGGTAGAAACTCGGGGCACGTAAGTACCCATAGCAGTTAGTGGGTTTGCAAAATAGTGCAATATATATTATATGATTTTGTCCAGAAAGTGAACTTGTTATCTTGATAGTTTCAGGCTGAGATTGAAGGTAAAGTGGTAGTTGTTACAATTATTGTGGAATGTCTTGACTGAATCCTCCCTATAAGCCCAAACTATGAACCTCAGATACAAAAGAGGTTTGTGGTTGCAGGAGTTAAGGAAGCATTGTTCTGGGTCAACCATGAACATGTTGGTATATTGTGGGGTCATCTTTTAGGATATTCTGTATATTTTAAATGATATAATCTGAACTGTGTGAAGAGATTGTGCAAACACAACCTTAGGACTTGCTGTCTTTTACGAGGAGCTAAACAGCTCTGTCTGGTTCTGGAAATTCAATTTGGCAATATCACAGCATTCCAGCTTCAATTAAGCACAGTATTTTAAAATAATCAAAATAGTTATCATCAGAACACCCCCAACTAGCTTTCAAAGATTTACTTTGAACTAAATGTATCTGCTTCAGCTTACAGTTAATATACTGTACCAATCTAGTTTTCAAGTTAAATTCCAAGTTTTGCTCTGTCTTAATGGATGGTAAATCCCTTCACTGTAATTTTATATTTCTGGGTTTTGGAACAATGACAGTTATTGGTCAGACGTACTTACCAAATCATTTTATGTACTTACCAAAGAATTCTTTTTATCACAACATAGTTTTAAAACATCCAAAGCATTTTCATCACATCCCCTTTATACTATATTTTCCCTGTGCAACTAAGAATATTCAAATAACATTACACAAATAATTTCCACCAGTTCTGCTTTGCAATATTGTATGTCATTTCTCTGCTTAATGTTTTAGAGAAGTTCTCATGCATCCAAGCAATCTTAATAATGGAAAGCAATGAAAGATATGCAGACAGAGATGTTTTATATTTATTTGATAATGTATGATTGTTTTGAAAGTTTCCAATCATAAGCATGTATTTTAATGCTGGAATTCAGGACCTGTCAATGGCAAAATATATAATAGTTTTTGTCAGCAAACACTAAGTGAGAACAGCTCCTCTGTAAGTGTATGTCCTTTATTTCCATCAGCACCTTCATGCTACTGCAACCTCCACTACCATCAAACTGAACATCGTTCTGTGGAGGGCTTTCCAGCTTTCAGGTGTAACGTTGACGGTGCACAGGAGAACTTCATGTACATTTCTTTAAAATCACCACTTCTTCACAGAATATACATAACATTATACATACAGTGTTAATATTAGCAATAACTGTAAACTTTTCTTCAATCCTATCTTGAAACTTTAGCATTGTTGTCCTAAACTAGCATGACACACCACTCAGAGCAATGTGTGGATTATTTTTGAGAAGGGTACCACCAACTTTCATATGTTATTCCAAGAGGAAAATGCCACATCAACTGATCTTTCTTCAGCTTTGTCCCACATTCCTAACTTATTGCTGCAGCTTGAAGCACAGGTCTCTGAGGTTTGTCCTCATTATTATAGGCAAGGATGTGCAGTAAACAACATGAGTTACTTTAAAACTGAGTTGAGCTATTTCGTTATGGTAGAAAAGATATTGCTAACCATATCTTTTAGCTAAACAAGCAAATATTACAGCATAGTTTTGTTTATTTCTCTCTGGAAAATATGTTAAATGTTCATGACAGCATGGAAAATATACCTCATTCTCAGTTCCCACATCAAGCATAACAGGCAGGCACTCCTGGGGCTTCAGTCCTCCACATGCTGTGTAAAGTGCTAGTTTTCCCACTGGGATGCCCATTCCGTAACATCCGAGGTCTCCGAGGCCAAGAATACGTTCTCCATCAGTCACCACAATAGCCTACCAGGAAAGTATTGTAAAATTGTAAACATATTCTGAGAATTTTTAAATGACCATTTAAAAACAAATTGATTCAGAAACTTTCATTTTCTTTAAGTAATGTGGCAAAACATTCCTTGGAGCTTTAGAGCAATTTCCATAGAGATACTATCTTGGTTCATTATATTAACTTTAATTAATATGTCAACTCAATTTCATACTAGGAATAAGTAACTATAGTAGAAAACAGCACACTGGATTTTATCTAATGATGCTTTTTACATTTACATTGATCAATGTAAGGAAGATTATTGTGAGGACTTCATCTTGGTGACACCAATCTGAACATGAGAATAGAAAGATGCCACAGGCTGATGAAAATGTCTTATAAATGTGCTGTAGTGGTGCTCGCATAACTAGAACAAACATTACAATTACATTGTGCACCTTGTTACACTGCACATCAAGTTGTAAATGGCTGCCTTGACTATATGGATACCACTATCTTCTACCCATCTACAATTTTATGTCAATCATTACCATATTATAAAAGAATCACATGAACTCTGCTTGGGTTGTACCATTTCAACCTTTAGCTTGGATGACCACGTTTAATTGTTAGCACACTTAAAAGAAAGCTATGATAGACAGATATGTTCCAGACTAGCCTTTTGTCACAAATACTAGTTCTCTAAATTTAGAGAGTTTTCCCACTGCCTATACCACTTCAATCCCACAATCTGTACCAGATGCTTATGCTGGTCATAATTTTGTAGTTCAACTCATCATTTTGATCACAATGAGTCCATATTGCCATGTAACTGTCATACAAGTTACCTACTTTGATGACTGCTTCAGGCCATGATTTAAGCAATGTTGCAACATGTCCTCGATCATGGGGAGTAATGAAGAGTCCTCTGTAAGACAATAATTTGAATTTTAAATAAGGCTTTTGGGCCACCTAGTCCAACCCCCATTCCTCCCATTATGTTAAGTGGAGAAAACAGACAGTCCCCATGTTTCAAACATCTGACTTACATACGACCCCATAGTTACAATGTGAGACAACAGGAAGTGAGAGGAAATCTACCTCTAGGAGGGGAAATTTACTCCAGTAAAAGTTGTCATGGGTAAGAAATGTCTCCAATGAAACTTTATCAGCAATCATTGTTTCCATGACAACCCAATATTTTCAAAATCCAATTGTCATGGGGACAGAAAGTTAGGTGAAATCTTCCGAAAAGGGCACAGATAGCAAAACTAATGTTAGAGGGGTGTTAACCCTTCCTTATGCTATCCAAGACCTTAAGAAATAGGTAAAAATGTACCTTTTCTGACTTATTTAAAAATTTGACTTAAGAACAAACCTACAGTACCAATGTTGTTCATAACCCTGGGACTGTATGTCTGAGAGAGCACTGGTGATAAGGAATACAGAGCAATTCAAAGAATTGTCAGCACCATTTAAGAACTGGCTGACCATCAAGCGGGAAAATCCATTCCAAATCTGAATGTTTAGCATCTTTCAAGATTTCATCTTTAGGAAAGCAAAAAGGTCAGAGTGTTTAGAGAGTCTAAAATAAAACTTCTAAATATCCAACTCAGACCAGCCCTTCAATGTTAGATAGACTCAGAATGCATCTACAGGCACGGACAAACTTTGGTCTTCCAGGTATTTTGAACTTCGACTCCCTCAATTCCTAGAAGCCGGTATGTTAGCTGGGATTTCTGGGAGTTTAAGTCCAAAATACCTGGAGGGCCGAAGTGTGACCATGCCTGATCTACACTGCATTTAAAGCAGTTTAACATCACTATTACTGCCATGGCTTAATGCTATGGAATCATAGGAGTTATAGTTTGATGAGGCACTAGCACGCTTTGGCAGAGGCTAAAAACATTGTAAAACTACAGCTCCCATGGTTCCTTAGCACTGAGTCATGACAGTTAATGCAGTAGTATCAAACTGCATTAATTCTAAAGTGTAGATGCACCCTCAAATAACTTATCAGAAGAAAGATACTAAGATCTGAACTCCTAAAAGCAAACAGGAAATGAAGGCTTATTGGAGTCAGTTGAAAATGATGGAAACCCCCAGCAGATACACAAGCTTCCTTAGTCCATGTTGACTTAAGGAAAAAAGTTTAAAAGGGTAAAGAAAGTGGTTTGTTTTCAAGGAGCCCTGGTGCTTGCCATTCCATGAAGGAAGGCTGAGACTATTAAGGGAGGCTGCAGGAACTAGTGCTGACAAGACTTGGAACCTTGCCCAGACTACTAAGATCTTTTCACTGCTACGGAGGCTCGCTGGAAATCTTCCAAGCTCCTGAGAACCTGGGACAATCCCTCAAGTGAGGAGCTGAAAACGTGCTGACAGCTGAACCCAGATATCTGTGTGCAGTTGAGGGCCTGTTTGAATAATCCTGGAAGCTAGGGACACTACTAGGAGACTGAACAGAGAGAACAGAAAGATGTCACAGGCTGATGAAAACCTTAACCGATAAGTGATTAAGTAAGTATTCACCTGAGATTGCACTGGCTTTAAACTGGAATAACTGACCCAGTAAAAAGAGTTACCTTGAGATTACAAGTACATAAGGGAAGACATTCTGGTATCTGCCATCAGACGAACAAAAAGCTTTTGGGACCTTTTGGGGTGGGGGATTGGAATCTATTATTAGTGTACAACAATGGTTTGAGCACTGGACTGCGACTCCAGAGACCAGGATTCAGATCCCTACTAAGCCATGAAACCTACTGGGTGATCTTGTCACATTATCAGCCTCAGAAAAAGGCAATGACAATTTTTTTCTGAACAAATCTTGTCAAGAAAACCCCTAATAGGTCTGCCTTAAGGTCACCATAAATCGAAAATGACTGGAAGGCACACAACAACAACAGTTAGCTGCTTTGGATGTCATTTCATTGAAACATAATAGCATTCAAAATAAGTAATGGTAATAATAAAAATCTCATTAGGCACATGTCACAGAGAGGTTCTTTACCTTAAATTAGAGACCTTATTTCTTCTAATGCTATGTTTATTCTCATTTCAGCTCTTTTCGACTCATACTTGGAAGAAAAATACCATAAGACAACCTTCAGCGGCATTCCATATGCACACAATCAGGAGTATATCATGCTCTGCCATCAACTTTTCCATTGTAGTGACAATAAAACGTACCCCCAAAATGCTATCAATTTTACAGCGACAACTAGGTCATGCTTATACACTAGTTCTCAGATCTATTAATTGTGCCTATCAATTTCTGGAATGACCAAATGATTTTGATGAGCAATGCTCACTGAATGTAGGTTTGATAGTAAAGCATATTTCATATCACACTACCACCACCACAGTTATTCATGGTCTCACTACTACTGCCACCATTCATGCCCCTGTTGCTACTGCCACTGCTGCCATTCATACCCTGCCACTACTGCGGCTATTCGTGCCCTACCACTGCCACCACAGTGACATACTGTAAATATTTAGGAAGAGTCTCAATCGGTTATCAATTTTCATTTCTCACTTTTAGCTCACTAAAGTTCTTCTGGATTAAAACTGAGACAGTGAAAATATGTTTGATTTTGTGATTGTGATCCAGTCCCAGAATTCCTCCTATGCATCCAATATTTCAGAAGCAAGCCACAGAAATGGAATATATTGGAGCTTCACTGTAGTGTTAATTTTTATGCAAGGTGTTACACTATGTGCATTTTAATTAAAATATATTAGTGATGTATTTAGCTACCAGAGATCTATTAAAAGCCTACCATAGACATTTTTTAAAACTGGATGAAATCCTAAGGTAACATTTGAATGAACTATTCAACATCTGGACTTTATCTGGCCCAGCCTCAATTTTTAAAAATCCAATTCTAATTCATTAGAGAAAGCAATAGTCTCACACTTTCACACTTTTCCAAATATATTAGATAACGTCTCTCTCTTTAGTCCTTCTTTGTAATTTATCAGAAACACCTGTTAAAAATTGGATAATACTATTTATAAGCAACAAAATAGTAGTAGTAGTAGTAGTAGTTGTTGTTGTTGTTGTTGTTATAGCCCTGTCTGGAAAGGCCCCAGGATTCAACTATGGAAATCTGCTGGGTGACTTTGGGTAATTCACACTCTTTCAGCTCAGGGGAAAGCAAAGGAAAACCACGTCTGAAAAAAAATCTTGCCAAGAAAAGTCTGCTATAAATTGGAAATGAAGGCACACAACAATACTAGCTGATGTTGTTTTATGATCTATAGCAGATTTGCACAACATATTGTCCGCAAGCCACTAGTCAGTAGCTCGCCAAAGGATTTAAGGCAGCCAACGAAAAATGCAGAGGGTGTAAAGGAAAGGAAAGATGTAACAAGTGCTTTGTGCATAACTTTTGCCTGATGTTACCCACTGCTGCATCACTTAACCCACCTTCCACTGGTCACTATTGTGCCTATCATATAACCCAGCAGATGGGTTGAGACTGCACACTCTTGTTTGTCACATGACCTGCAGCAACCAACGATCATCAGTTTGTCTCTACTCTGAGAGGTGCAACAGTCGTACCTTTTCACTGCATTTTCAGTCATTACTGGCATTGAACAGGGACAGAATGCTGCCACATGCAATACAGCTGACACCCTTTTCCAAGAGCACCAGCAACACAAAGACTTATTCCCCTTCCTCGCTGCGCAGCAAATACTTTCCCCCCTTTCTCACACCCATCCGCCAAGTATTCAAACTCAGGCAATGAAATCATCATCAGTTAAATATAAAATGTAAAGTCTCTTCTAAAATACAATGGATTTGCTTCAGCAAATTTTTCCTGCTTATTTCAATTCCTCCTCTTATGTTTAGTTAGTGCACATTTTAATCTTGCTTTCCATATTACAAATGGAAATGTAATTCAAACATTTTAGTCTCTTCACTTTTCAGAAGTTTCCAAAACTTAGAAATAGAAGACTTGGCCTTGATTTTTCCTCATTCTGCACACACTGAGTTTGCTAATAAACCTGAAACACCTGGGTGTTCCACAGACGGGGTAATAAAGTTATTTTTGGCATCTTAGCAAAATATTTCCATTGAACTTTCCCACACCTAAATCTGCAGCTTAAAAATGAGATGAGGGTGAGTGGGAGAAAGGAATAACTCTAAGAACTATTATTTCTTTTTTTTAAAAAAATTATGGCAAATATTACTTCTTAAAAGGCAATGTAAGTTATCCTATTAATATTAAGATACTATTAGTAACAATAATCCATATTTTTACAGGTTACAGACAGGAGTAATAATTAAACTATAATTTCTTCTACACACTGTCATCCTGAATTATGGCACCATGATCCACAGTAGAAACACTGCAGCCAAAGCAAAGTTATGGAAGTTATTTTTCAAAAAGTGCAGTATTGTGTAACATCTTGTAGGACCCTCCAGCGTATCTGTCATCGTAACCATTGTAACATTTTAATCCACACCTGTGGGTTAAAGCAAACATGGATCATAAGTAATTGAGAGAAGTAGAGTGGGACATCTCTCTCATCTAGTTTGCTCTATAGTGGCCTTGACAGAGGGTTATAAGGGCAAGGGGCACAGTGGCTTGGTATGGATCTCTGAATTTCAAAAGTTTAGCCATTACTTATTCACTGAAAATTTATTATCTAAATAAATAGAAAGATTTTTGCAATAGCTGACTGTATACAAATCACTTCTTTGCCGCACTGTTCATCATCCATAAAGTATGAAAATCATTGTGCAGGTCTACTACCTAGTTTTGAGAGTTCTGTGTTGGGATTTCTCATCTGTTTATTTGAAGGATTTATAAATAGCTTTCTAGGCCCCGCTCTTTCAAGATGGCATGTAATGCAAGAATAGCTAGATACAGAGCAGCAATATTCAGGTTAATGCTAGGAGAAAAACTGGACATAAAC